AAAACACTGGAGGGTTTGGTGGGCATTCACCTTGAGTTTGGGAGTTGTAGTTCAACTACATCCAGAAAGCACTGTGGACTCAAACAATGATGGATCTGGACCAAACTTGGCACAAATATTCCATATGCCCAAATATGAACACAGATGGAGTTTGGGGGAAATAGACCTTTACATTTGGGATTTGTAGTTATTGGGATTTATAGTTCACCTACAATCAAAGAGCATGCTGAACCCCACCAACGACAGAACTGGAGCAAACCTCCCACACAGAACCCCCGTACTTAGGCCATCCAGTCCAACTCCCTTCACCAGGGCAAGAAAATGCAATCAAAGCCCTCCTGACAAAGAGCCATCCAGCCATAGATAAGAGATAGATAGATATGATTCATACACACAGAGATATAGTATCATAGATTTGAAAGGGACCCCTAAAGAAGGACAATTATATGTTACATGTTCCAGAGTAGGCAAAGCAGACACTCTCCACATCAACAGTGACAAAGAAACAGCAAGAAATACTGTTTACCCACAAGCACAAAGAAATTACATATATTAGAAACCAACACTTTCTCATTACTTTATTTTCCAGATCAACAGACCGGGCCACAGCAACGCGTGGCAGGGGACAGCTAGTTATAGAATAATAGAGTTGGACGAGACCACATGGGCCATCTAGTCCAACCCCCTACCTTGCAAGAAAATCACCCTCAAAGCACACCAGACAGATGGCCATCCAGCCTCTGTTTAAAAGCTTCCAAGGAAGAAGCTTCCATCACTTGGTAGTGTCCATAGTTTGATCTTTAAGCAGCCATGTCTTAACATGATTCTCCTTAACATATACTACCTCCACCTCTCAAAAGCTGGCTCTCTGTCCTCTTTTTAAAAAGAAGAATTTGCATTTTCATTTCAGAGTTTCTAACTCTCAAAGTCAATATGAACTCTTGTCTGTTTGAGGCAAGTGTAAATATTGAAATTGGCCACCTTGATTAGCATTGAATGGTCTTGTAGCTTCAAGAGTTCTTCCCCCCCCCCCCCCCCACCCTCTGAGGATGCCTGCCCCCACAGGTTTATATATCTGGGGGGAACTCAGAAGATGGCTTCCATGCAGCTCCAATTCCCAATGCACATGGAAACAGGATAAAGTGGGAGAAACACATGGGATGGGATCTGTCTGTTGAATCGCTTAAGTGATTCAAAGTAAGGGACGTTCCTATGGGCGGTCTCCTACCGAGCATTATTTCTCTCCCAAAATCCTGCTTCATGAGCCTGGCATTGTAATTGTTTAAAATTAATTTAATCATTAGGAATACTACAATTTTTTGCTTTTAAAATTGTGCTTTTGCTAGCGTTTTAACTTTTCCTTTTTTTTCTTTTTGTAATTATTTAAGCAGCTCAGGAGGAAAGGCAAAGGGCCTGAGGCTGTTAGGAATTGTGGGAGTTGAAGTCCAAAACACCTGGAAGGTTCAAGTTTGCCCATGCCTGGTGTAGATGCACCTCTAGTCTATTGATCTGGGGACATGATAGAAGCAAGCGCTCTGTGGAAGAGATCTAAGTAGATAAATAAAAACAATTCCTCTCTTCTTGGCTCAAGTCATTACCTGTGTGAATGCACTCAGAGTCAAGTGAGATCACACAAACCGGCATGAAAATGCTGTACTTGTACAGCATTTTGGCAACAGCATTTTGGGCAACGTAGCTTTGCCACTGTGTCTCCGTGCCATTTGCAACGGAACATCGTTTTCCAACATAGAGACGCAGGGCAATGCACAGGTCATTTTTCTGACTCTTGATTCTTCAGACTCCCTGAACTCATATTTGCCTTCGTCAAAAGAAAAGAGGAAATTGTCTTAACATAGACAGATCCAGGAATAGTGATTCACTATTTCGAAAGATGACAAGGCTACAGTTTAACACCTACTCTTCCCCTACATCACACAATGGCCGTGCCGTGTAATGTTTCACAGATGAATACTGAGGCCCGTACATCCAAGTATCAGATGTAATCAAAACGGAAGAAGTTATTAATCAGGAGAAACCTACAAGTGAGATGTTCCAGCAGTTTGCTTTTGCCTGAGTTTATTGAGAAGGACAACGTTTTGGCCCCTCGTCTGCTTTCTGCCCTGATAGCTTAACTTAGTACAAGCTAGTTTTGCACTTTGAACTCAATTTGCTACAGTTGGAATATGGTGAGGACGAAGGGGAAATTAGGATGGGAGAAGATTAATGAGAACAGTGCTAATAATGTGCTAATAGTATAATATATCATCTATATAAATAAAAATGTAATGTTCGTTTGTGGGATTAACAGAACTCAGAAACCACTGGGGGAATTGACGCCAATTGGACAGCATACACCTAACAACCCAATGTATGCCCTTCACTCAAAAAGATTTTGAGTTTAGCATTTGGGAGTTGTAGTTGATGGGATTTATAGTTCATCTACAATCAAAGAGCATTTTGAACTCTACCAATGATGGAATTGAACCAAATGTGGCACACAGGACTCCCATGACCAACAGAAAACACTAGAAGGCTTTGGTGGGCATTGACCTTGAGTTTTGGAGTTGTAGTTCACCTACATATAGAGAGCACTGTGGACTCAAACAATGATGGATCTGGACCAAACTTGGCACGAATACTCAATATGCCCAAATAAAAACACAGATATATAAACCTCATTTGCCTAGTTTCCAATAGACCTCACAACCTCTGAGGATGCCTGCCATAAATGTGGGCAAATTCGCAGACGAAGTAGCACGAGCAAAAAAATGGAAGTCTCCTTGCATCGTATGAGGTTGCTTCGCCAATGAAGTATGAGGGTTATCCAGAAAGTAAGGTTACAAGGCACATAGCTCCAGCAGGGAATTTTCATGGGAGAAGTAGTATCACTGCTATGTAGCGGGAAGCCAGCAGAAGCAAATGAGCAGTGCTTGTCGTCAGTAGCTCATCGACTGGTGTTTCCGTTTTCCTTCAAGTGCAAAGTTTGTACTATACGAGGGTTATCCAGAAAGTAAGGTTACAAGGGACATAGCTCTCATAGGGAATTTTCACAGGAGAAGTAGGTATCACTGCTATGTAGCGGGAAGCCAGCAGAAGTGAACGAGCAGTGCTTGTTGCCAGTAGCTCATCTACTGGCGTTTCCATTTCCCTCCAAGTGCAAAGTTTGTGCTGTACGAGGGATATCCGGAAAGTAAGGTTACAAGATTTTTTTAAAAAATACAAACAATGAATATATGTTAATAAAACTTACATGGATTACAAAATATATATTACATTATGTTTTCACATGATCACCATTCAGTTCAACACATTTTGTCATCTGTGGGATGAGTTTTTTAATGGATTGTTGTAGGTTTTTCAGGCTGTATGGCCATGTATGGGCATAGATGCAGGCAAAACATCAGGAGAGAATACTTCTAGAACATGGCCATACAGCCCAAAAAACCTACAACAACCTAGAGTTCTTTAATGCCTGTGTCATGGAAATCTCCTGCCGCCTCTTTCAGCCATGTCATCAGTCATAACAGATAGCTGTCTATTTCTGTCTTCATTGTGAATTTCCGTCCTTCCTCAATTGAAATTCCATACCCATTTTGCTGTCTTGACATTACGTCCACTCCATAAACCAAAATGATCTTGCAATGAATCGCAGTGGCACTCATGCCCTTAGCATTTAGGTAGCATATTACAGTACCATCTTCGCACTCAGAGGGGAATGGAATAAGGACGTTTGTGCTGGCATGGCTGTGCCAGGAGATTTAATTCTTTTTCTTGCACTGTTAGTTTGCATGAATCTATTTGGGCCATGCATTTTGCAATTGGGTAGCTTTCCCCAGGTTGTAATCATAGGGCCAACAACCTATCAATCATCATTAGAGCCTTTAGACCCACCCCTTTTCCCAGGTTTGGAGGGAAAGGGGGACTTTTAGTTCAGTCTCACAGTTTGGAGCCTCACAGCAGGACATGTAGGCTTTTCTCTGTCCCACCTGCAAAAAGCTTCACTTACTACAGCTTTTGTTGGGGGAAAACGAAAACCTCTACAGCTTTGCTGGGGAGTAAAGTTACAGTTCCACAGCCTTTGATGGAGGAACACAGCCAGCCTTTGCTGGGGCAAAAGAAATAGTTCCTACAGACTTCGTGGAGAAACTAAAGGACACCAGCTTGGCAGATCTACAGCAACCATTGCCTGGTAAGGGACCACTCGGGCTATCCATAATGCAGCTTGGAGCCGGGAGTTGGGGTCCCACGCCAGCAGGGTAAAGAAAGATTGCCCAAGGAGGGGTTGGAAGGTTTCCCTAAAGAAGATAGGAACAGTTTATCAAGCAGTTGCCTGTCCCAGATCGAAAAAGCTACTAGTTTTTCAAGATTATAAAGCATTTAATTCATTTGTTCGAAGATTTAAGCCTTAATAAAGAACTTTGTTGAACCTAGTTTGAGCCTCTACAGAACTTTGTGTTGGGAAACCTATGGGACCCTTTAGCTGAGGCACCCCGGCGTCCCGTTGGGCATACAGAAAGCACGTCCTGTAAACAGACATTGTCATAGACCCAGTGCACAACAGCACAACATTCATCTCTAACCTTCACCACAATGCCAGTCAATGAGCTGCTGACAGCTGGCACTGCTCGTTTGCTTCCTGCTACACAGCAGTGATACCAACTTCTCCTGCAAAAATTCCCAATGAGAGCTACATGCCTTGTAAACATACTTTCCGGACAACCCTCATATTTTAGAAGTGTGTGGAAAGTGTGTGTGTGTGAAGAGGGGAAATCTTGCATGTGATGAAGTCCTAAGAATCTACATTGAAAGTGGATTGCTAGGCCCAGGTGAATGTTTGGATAGCTTCACTACCAACCAAGATACTGTTTTATCAATGGAAGACCACCACAGGCTCCATGTCACCAAAAGACATCCTTTTATTTACATGCTCAAAGTCCCACACCTTGTTGACCCCAAGCCCGAAAGCTGCTGCCACCGACTCCCCCTCCAGCTTGCCTTGTGCTGCTCCCTCCCTGCCCTCCCCACCACCACCACCTAGGCCCCACATCCAACTTCAGCTGCAGCCCCCAAGGCCTTTGATCAGCCCGGCGGCCTCGGGCACCTGTCGGAAAATGTCACGGAGGGTCTCCGTCTCCTGCATGAGCTGCTCCACCCTGCTGCGCAGCCTCTCATTCTCGCCAAGGAGCTCCACCATGCGCTGCTGCGTCTCCATCACCCGGCGCTTGGCCTTGTCACGACTCTTCCGCACAGCAATGTTGTTGCGCTCTCGACGCAGGCGGTACTCCAGGCTGTCTTTATTCACCGACTTCTTCCCTTTCGGGGTGCCACAGGGGGGAGAGGGGCTGCAAGGTGGACCCTGTGACATGGAGGAGAGGAGGAGGAGGAGGAGGCCATAAACAGAGAGCACAAATACCCAATATGCCCAAATTTGAATACTGGTGGGGTTGGGGGGTTGATTTTGTCATTTGGAAGTTGTAGTTGCTGGGATTTATAGTTCACCTACAATCAAAGAGCATTCTGAACTCCACCAATGATGGAATTGAACCAAACTTGGCACAAGCACTCAATATGTTACAGAAAACATTGGAAGGGTTTGACCTTGAGTTTTGGAGTTATAGTTCACCTACACCCAGAGAGCACTCTGGACTCAAACAATGATGGATCTGTACCAAACTTGGCATGAATACTCAATATGCCAAAATGTGAACACTGCTGAAGGAAATAGACCTTGACATTTGAGAGTTGTAGTTGCTGGGATTTATAGTTAACATACAATCAAAGAACATTCTGAACACTACCGATGATAGAATTGGACCAAACTTCCCACAGAGAATGCCCATGCCCAACAGTAAATACTATGTTTTCTGATGCTCTTTGGTGACCCCTCTGACACCCCCTCGAGATCCCCCCCCCCAGGGGTCCTGCCCCCCAGGTTGAGAAACGCTGACTTAGGCTAAATCTGCCATAGAGAGATCCTGTCCTTTAATTAATCTAAACAAGAAGAAACCAAATTTGATGCACACATGTAAACAACTTTAACTCATATTTAAGAAGTCATGGGGCTCTGTTTGTGAATTTATGTCCTTCTAACGGAAGTGTACAGAAAGCCAGTTGGACTAAAGCATCTTAATTTGTATCAGAGCTTGGGAAAGTTCCTCAACCGCCTTTCTCAAGTTCTGTATTCTGTAATGAATTATCATATGAGTTGTTGTAGGTTTTTTCGAGCTATATGGCCATGGTCTAGAGACATTCTCTCCTGACGTTTCGCCTGCATCTATGGCAAGCATCCTCAGAGGTAGTGAGGTCTGTTGAAACTAGGAAAAAGGGTTTATATATCTATGGAATGACCAGGGTGAGACAAAGGACTCTTGTCTGCTGGAGCTAGGTGTGAATGTTTCAACTGACCACCTTGATTAGCATATAATGGCCTGACAGTGCCTAGAGCAAACTTTTGTTGAGAGGTGATTAGATGTCCTTGGTTCTTTTTAGGGTCTTTTCTTTTGAGATCAGCAATTTGGGTCTCTTCTACTCCTGTTCTCTTTGTATAGCATATTATGATTTCAAAGCAAAGCCCAGCAATATCTGAAAACCCTGCAATATCTCTTGTGTAAGAGATTAATCTGCTTTTGTGTCTCTTGGAAGGGATGATTTGCCTTACTTAGTTCTGAGGAAATGGATTGGTAGTAGGGTCTTCCTCCTCTCATAGGAAGCTAAAGTACATTTAAATACCTCTTGAGAAAGTTATTGGTTGGCCTCTCCCAGCCAGAAAGGGGGTTTCTGAGCCTTGCCTAAGGCACGGAGACCTTGTGAATGGGAAGCCATACTGTGAAAAGTATTTCAGCGGAAGGGTGTGCCTTAGAGGCTCAATCCAACCCGGTTTTCTGTTTCAAAACTTTCAAAATGATCATGTTTAGTCTTGAAACTTCTACCCTGTGTCGGCCTTCCACTACAACATACACTGGGCTTAATTGCTAAGTTGTATAAATTGTTAACATTTGAAATGGAGAGGGAGCAAGTAGAAGATTGCATGGTCAAGTGGGCACAACATTTTGATAAACAAATACGAATGGAACCATGGGAAAGGGTCTGGAGTTTTGAAATTTATATTGAGTAATGACTTGATGTACAAAAATAGTTCTGGGTAGCTGTGAGTTTTCCGGACTGTATGGTCATGTTCCAGAAGCATTCTCTCCTGACGTTTTGCCAACATCTATGGCAGGCATCCTCAGAGGTTGCAAGGTCTGTTGGAAACTAGGCAAGTGGGGTTTATATATCTGTGGAATAATATCCAGGGTGGGAGAAATAACTGTTGTCTCTTTGAGGGATGTGTGAATGTTGGCCACTTTGATTACCAGTAAATGGCCTTGCAGCTTCAAGGTCTGGCTGCTCCCTGCCTGAGGGAATCCTTTGTTGGGAGGTGTTAGCTGATTTGTGTTGTCGAAGGCTTTCATGGCCAGAATCACTGGGTTGCTGTAGGTTTTTTCGGGCTATATGGCCATGTTCTAAGAAATTCTCTCCTGATGTTTTGCCTGCATGTATGGCAAGCATCCTCAGAGGTTGTGACGTCTGTTAGCTGATTCTAATTGTTTCCTAATTGTCCAGACAAGAAATTGTCTTAATTTCTTGTCTGGACACCTAGCTCCAGCAGACAAGAGTCCTTTGTCCCACCTTGGTCTTTCCACAGATATATAAAACCATTTTCCTAGTTCCAACAGCCCTCACTACCTCTGAGGATGCTTGCCATAGATGCAGGTGAAATGTCAGGAGAAAATGCCTCTAGAACATGGCCATATAGCCCGAAAAAACCTACAACAACCCAATTGTCTTAATTGTTTCCTAATTGTCCAGACAAGAAACAATTAGGGCCAGCTAACACCTCCCAAGTACTTATTACTTTGGCCACATAATGGGAAGACAGGAAAGCTTGGAGAAGATAATGATACTGGGGGGAAATGGAAGGAAAAAGGAAGAGGGGCCGATCAAGGGCAAGATGGATGGATGGTATTCTTGAAGGGACTGGCTTGACCTTGAAGGAGCTGGGGGTGGCCACGGCCAACAGGGAGCTCAGGCATGGACTGGTCCATGAGGTCATAAAGAGTCGGAAGTGACTGAACAGATAAACAACAACAATATCTCCCAACAAAGGCTTCTCCCAAGCAGGAAGCAGCCGGGCTTTGAAGCTGCAAGGGCATTCAATGCTAATCATTGCATTATTAATGTGAATGCTAATGTAAATAATAAATAAATAATAATAATCAAGGTAGCCAACGGCAACGTCCACACTTTCCTCAAATGGACAAGAGTTATTCCCACCCTGGACATCACACAGATATAGAAGCCCCACTTGCCTAGTTTCCAACAGACCTCACAACCTCTGAGCATGCCTGCCGTAGATGTGGGCAAAACATCAGGAGAGAATGCTTCCAGAACATGGCCATGCAGCCTGGAAAACTCACAGCAACCTAGTGATTCCAGCCATGAAAGCCTTTGACAACACAAAAATAGTTGTAGTAATTGTTGGAAATGTGGGGGGAAACGTGGGCATCTTTTATCATATGTGGTGGTCATGCAAAACCACCCAGAAATACTGGGCACAAATACATATATGATTTTAGAAGGAATTGTTTTAAAGTTAAATTTGAAACGAAACCTTTACTCTATCTGCTTCGGATGTTAGATGATCAACTTGATAGGAAATGTGCAAGGTTGTATACATGACAACGGAAGCTTTGAATGCAATTTTCCTGCTTCTTGGCAGGTTGGACTGGATGGCCAGTGATTCTATGATTCACTTCTGGTTTTGAAGAAAATAAATGAAAATAATGTTGAATAATACTGACCACAGAAGGTATAAAAAGATGAGTGTGACTGCTGGAACTTCCAGGAGAGGAAACTACCGTATATACTCAAGTATAAGCCAACCCGAATATAAGCCAAGGCACCTAATTTTACCATAAAAACTGGGAAAACTTATTGACTCGAGTATAAGCCGAGGGCGGGAAATGCAGCAGCTATGGGTAAATTTCAAAAATAAAAATAGATACATTATTATTATTATTATTATTATTATTAATTTATTATTAAAATTACATTAATAGAGGCATCGGTAGATTAAATGTTTTTGAATATTTATCATATTTCAAAGTTGGAAGGGGCCTCTAAAAACTATCTAGTTCAAACCTTTTCATTCTGCCTTCATGCAGGGAAAGCACAATCAAAGCATCCCCAACAGATGGCCATTTAGCCTTAATAAATCATGATCATCATCATCATCATCATCATCATCATCATCATGAGTTGGAAGGGAGCTCTAAAGGCCATCTAGTCCAACTCTCTTAATTCTGCCATCATGCAGGGAAAGCACAGTCAAAACACCCCTGACAGATGGCCATCCAGCCTTATTATTATTATTATCATTATTATTAATAATAATAATGAGTTGGAAGGGAGCTCTAAAGACCATTTAGTCCAACCATCTTCATTCTACCTTCATGCAGGAAAAGCACAGTCAAAACACTCCTGACAGATGGCCATTCAGCATTATTATTATTAATAATAATAATAATAGAATTGGAAGGGAGCTCTAAAGACCATCTATTCCAACCCTCTTCATTCTGCCTTCATCCAGGGAAAGCACAGTCAAAACATCCCTGACAGATGACCATCCAGCCTTAATAATAATAATAATAATAATAATAATAATAATAATAATAATAATAATAGAATTGGAAGGGAGCTCCAAAGGCCATCTAGTCCAACCCTCTTCATTCTTGCTTCCTACAGGGAAAGCACATTCAAAATGTCCCTGACAGATGGCCATCCAGCCTTAATATTAATATGAATAACAATGATAATGATAATGATAATAATAGAATTAGAAGGGAGCTCCAAAGGCCTTCTAGTCCAACTCTCTTCATTCTTGTTTCATACAGGGAAAGCACAGTCAAAGCACTCCTGGCAGATGGCCATCCAGCCATAATATTAACAACAACAACAACAACAACAACAACAACAGAGTTGAAAGGGAGCTCTAAAGGCCATCTAGTCCAACTCCATTCTGCTGGGAAAGCAAAGACAAAACACCCCTGACAGATGGCCATCCAGCCTTATTATTATTATTATTATTATTATTATTATTATTATTATTAATAGAAGTGGAAGGGAGCTCTAAAGGCCATTTAGTCAACTCCTGGAGCCATATTTTGGTGAATTGTTACTAAGGGTCCTCCCTCCCAGCCATATAACCCAGAATATCAAGGCAAAATAATCTCACAATATCTGCTTTGAACTGGGTTATTTCTGCTTTATCCCTATAACTGGGTCCACGCTGCCATATATTCCAGTTCAAAGCAGATATTGTGGGCTTTTAATTCAGCTGTGTGGAAGGGGCCTAAGATGGAGCCCTTGCAATGGAATAAACCACATATTCTTCCCGTCGCTGCTCCAGACTCCATTTCCTTCCTTTTCTCCTGTGTGAGATTATAGGAGAGAAGTCCCTTAGGGAAGGGGCCTCTGTATACCCACGGGAATGTCGTGTGTATAAAGAGTTCCGGAGGGAAATCCACTCCTAAAAGAGTTATCATGAGGAAAGGAAAGCATACGTGAGTCCCGCCCTGAGTCCCTTCAGAGAGAGAGGGTGGATTATAAATAAAGTTGTTGTTATTATTATTATTATTATTTGAAACACAACAAGATGAGTCCACAGCAGACACTTTGCTGGCTGTGGAATTGGATCACACGTCGGACACTTCCCAAGTGTCTAGGACTGTGTGATCTATTGGCGAATAATGTGTGCAGATCCCAGTCAGGTGGACTTTTGCAGTTGGCAGATGGTTGTTGTTATTGTTGTTGTTGTTGTTGTTGTTGTTGTTGTTATAAACACAATAAGATCGGTACTCAGCAAGCAAGATCACTATGCTGGTTGTTGTATTGGATCCCCCGTCGGACACTTCCCAAGTGTCTAGGACTATGTGATGTATCTGAGAATAAAGTGTGCAGATCCCAATAGGGTGGACTTTTGCAGCTAATAGATGGTAATTTTGTCAGCGCCGATTGTGTTTAAGTGCAGGCCAAGGTCTTTAGGCACTGCACCCAGTGTGCCGATCCCCAGTGGGACCACCTTGACTGACTTGTCTTTGCAGTTTGATCTTTAAATCCTCATATCATGTCAGCTCCTATTATTATTATTATTATTATTATTATTATTATTATTATTATTATTATTATTATTATTATTATCCTTAAAAGGTAAAGTTGTCCCCTGACATTAAGTCCAGTCATGTCTGACTCTGAGGTGTGGTGCTCATCTCCATTTCTAAGCCGAAGAGCCGGCGTTGTCCATAGACACCTCCAAAGTCATGTGGCCGCCATGACTGCATGAAGCGCTATTATTATTATTATTATTATTATTATTATTATTATTATGTGTGTGTGTCTGTATGGAGCCCCCCAGTGGTCCAGTGGGTTAAACCACTGAGCTACTGAACTTGCTGACCAAAATGTCAGCGGTTAAAATCAGAGGAGTGGGGTGAGCTCCTGCTGTTAGCCCCAGCTTCTGCCAACCTAGCAGTTCAAAAACATGCAAATGTGAGTAGGTTAATAGATACCACTTCGGTGGGAAGGTAATGGCACTCCATGCAGTCATGCCGACCAAATGATCTTGGAGATGTCTACAGACAACGCTGGCTCTTCGGCTTAGAAATGGAGATGAGCACCACCACCCAGAGTCGGACACGACTAGACTTAATGTCAGGGAAAACCTTTACCTTTACTATGAGTGTGTATGTGTGTAGATATATGTACATTTGAAGTTACACTTTTAAAATGTACCTATTCCGACTTCCATACAAATTCAACTTAAGAACAAACTTAACGCATCTTGTTCGTAACTTGGGACCTGCCTGTATAAAGAAGGACAAACAATGCCTAAGGAACATTAAGCAGGAGGGACAGTGCAGACCCAACCACAAATATGGTCTGTGATGCATTCTAGACTAGCACAGCCTCCAAGGGCAAATGGTGGCTGAAGACCATTTGATTTCCTTACCTTGAGCACTCTCAGAGCTTGTCCGGCACGCCCGCCTGGCTGTCCAAGGGCCACTTGGGCACAGTGGGCACCTGGGAAGTGCATGGCATTGTATGGGTGACGTCCGCCCACCCGTCCAGCTTCGCTTCCTCGCGGCTCCTCCTTGACAGCGACGGAACGTGGGTCCAAGGGTCCCAGGCCTTTGCGCTCCCCTCCATAAGAGAGGAAGGGGTACGGCTCCATGGGGAAGTAGTTGGGAAATGGAGTGCCTTTGGGGCCTCTGTGCTGAGCCCCTTGGAGCAATTCTGAGAGCAGCTGTTCATCTCCGATGTATGACGCCAACTCAGACTCACAGATTGGGCCCAGGTCGGTGCCAGCAGGCCTTGCAGGAGGTACTTCCAGGGCTTGGTAGTGCCGCTCGCTCTCAAAATATCCTCCTTGGGACATGGCACTGAGCTGCAATTCTCAGTTCCCTGGTGTTTTCCTTCTCTCCTTGGACAACCACTGGCACCAGCGTACTTGTTTAGTGCCGGTGTATATTTTAACTCTCCTCTCCCAGGTTCTGTTTTTTAGTCCTCCGTTTCTTCTTTTGAAGCACTTCAGGTTTGCCTAATTTTGTTCTTCGACTTGGTTTTGATCCTGATTTGTTCTCCTTTGTTTTTCTTGGTTGCTTGTTCTCCCAGATGAAGGATTTCACTCGTCTTTTCTTGTTAAAATTTTCTGTCCCTTTCCGCCCTTTTCTGCTCACTTTCTATCTTTCCTGCTTTCTCCTCTGTCTCTGTCTGAGCCTTGTTCCCTCTTTCTCCTCATCTTCTTCCTTCCCTCCTTTTGCCTCCCTCCCTCCCCCTTCCTTCCTCTTTCTGAGGTGCATCTTGGCTCCTGCTTTTGGCAATTTCGCCTGGTTCACCCAGGAAATGTCTTCATTCCTATTTCCACGCAGAACCCCAGTATGTGCCCTTGTGACAAACATATCGCTCGGCATAAACCATACCTTCTGTTCAACCGTAATTCAACATGCTGAAACCAAGCGTGAGAACATGCAGCTCTCAAGATCTTGTTGGTCTACATCAGGGGTCCTCAAACTAAGGCCCAGGGGCCAAGGTCATTTACCTGGCCCTCGCTCAGGGTCAACCTAAGTCTGAAAAGACTTGAAAGCACACAACAAGAAGAAGAACGTAAAAAATTATTTTAGTGATGAGACGCTGATGACTTGTGTTGTATGGTTTTTATTGTTTTATTGCTTTTATATGGTTTATATAATATGTAATGTTTTTAACTGTGTTTTATGTTGTTTGGGGGCAATAATAATAATAATAATAATAATAATAATCCTTTATTTGTACCCCGCTAACATCTCCCTAAGGACTCGGTGCGGCTTACAAGAGGCTGAGGCCCAACGCATCTAAAAACAACAGCATAACAAATACAACAATAAATAAACTCATAAAACAGGCAATAAACATTAAACAATAACAGCATGACACATTTAAACTAAGGCCAGGCCAATGTTATGATTAAAAATTTTAAAATGCTGGGCATGACAGGTGAAATAGATAGAATTTTGGAGATAAGTGCGATGTGCAGACAATCTTAAATCTCTAGCAAAGTGCATTTGGGACATGATCCTTGGAGTTTCCTATTCTGGGAAGGCACACTGGAACAACCACGTCTTCAAGCTCTTCCTAAAGACTGCCAATGTTGGGGCTTGTCTGATGTCGTTGGGGAGAGAGTTTCAGAGTCGGGGGGCCACCACGGAGAAGGCCCTGTCCCTCATCCCCACCAATCGCGCTTGCGATGCAGGTGGGATTGTGAGCAGGGCTTCTCCAGATGATCGGAGAGATCATGTGGGTTCATATACGGAGATGCGGTCACGCAGGTAGGCGGGTCCCAAACCGTTTAGGGCTTTGTAGGTAAGCACCTGCACCTTGAATTGGGACTGGAAAATGAATGGCAACCAATGGAGCTCCTTAAACAGACTGCTGACTGTAAACCACCTTGAGTCATCTTGGGGCTGAGAGGGGTGGTACATAAATATGGTAAGCAAACAAACAAACAAATAAATTTCATCACCCAAAAGTAGGCACACACTTCCCATTGAAATACTAATAATTTTATATATTTTTAAAATTGTTCATCATTTTAATGATTATATTGTTTTTAAGTGGGTTTTTTGCACTACAAATAAGAAATGTGCAGTGTGCATAGGAATTCATTCATTATTTTTTTTCAAATTATAATCCGGCCCTCCAACAGTTTGAGGGACTGTGACCTGGCCCTCTGTTTAAAAAGTTTGAGGACCCCTGGACTACAGCTCCAAGCTGCCATAATCAAAGTTGAGAAATTATGGGCATTAATAATAAATAATAATAAAACTTTATTTATACCCCGCTACCATCTCCCAAGGGACTCGGTGCGGCTTACGTGAGGCCGAGCCCACAGTACATCAGTAAAAACAGTAACAACAGTAATACATAACAATAAAATAAAACTCATAAACAGAAAATAAACAGCAAACAGTAACAGTAACACAATGACGTTTAAAAACCCATGGCTGGTCCAGATGTAATAATTAAAATTGTAAAATAATAAAATAATGCTGAGCGTGACCAGATGAAATATAACTAAGATAAAATTTTCAGAGAGGACATTCCTAGATCACTAATTAAGTGCATTGAGGGACATATTGCTGGGAGTTTCCTTATTCTGGGAAGGCACACTGGAACAACCATGTTTTCAGACTCCTCCTAAAGACTGCCAGGGTTGGGGCATGCCTGATGTCCTTGGGGAGTGAGTTCCAGAGTCGAGGGGCCACCACCGAGAAGGCCCTCTCCCTCATCCCCTGGACCTATCCAGATGATCGAAGAGAAATGCGGTCAAATTAAAAATCATAGATGACCACAAGAATCAGCTAGTCCAGACCTCTGCCATGCAGGAATTTATAAAGTTTTCCTGAAAGATGCCCAGAGAGATGGCTGAGCCTGGGACTTTTGGATACGGTTACATTTTTCAGGCTTGAGCTATACAGGTGCTTGCAGAGAAGCAGAGAAAAGCAGAGAGAGAGAGAGAGTTTGGAGTGTGCTCTTGCTTCATGTGCTGCTGAAGGACATCATCCACATGGACAAAGAAATACCATTTTAAATCTTTCATAAAAGGGCATTTTGTGAGTTGATGTAACTGACCGCATAATTGTACATATGTTGTTCTGAACTATGAAGAGTAAACTACTTGTTCTTTATTGTTCATCTGTGTGGAATATTTTCTTTCTCTGGCAAGGCGATGTGTGTGCTGATCAAACACAAACTACACTATTTTCATTTCGTCACACATCCAACCTCTGTTTAAAGATCTCCAAAGATGGAGATCCCACCACTCTCCAGCACAAGCAGCTTTTATAGAAAAGGTTTGGGTGAAATTTCCTTTCTTGTAATTGGAAACCATTGGTTTGTGTTCTGGTCTCTTGAAGAGCAGGAATCAAACTTTCTCCGTCTTCTGCATACCATCCTATAAAGATGACTATTGTATCACCTCCTCTTCTTCAACCTAAGAGTGCCCAGCTCCCAAAGTTGTTCCTCAGAAAGCTTGGTTTCCACATCTTTGATCATGTTGCTCACCCTCCTCTAAATCCTATTTCCTGCGATTGTTAGAGAGGATACTAAAAAGCACCTATGAAATGTCTTTTTCTCAAGAGCTGGCTCTAAAATATTTTGCCTGCACGAGACCAGACAACCATCCCTACCCACACTAGTGTATCAAGCTCGGAGGATGCTTGCCATAGATGCAGGCGAAACATCAGGAGAAATGCCTCTAGAACATGGTCATATAGCCCAAAAAAACCTACAACAACCCAACATTACAATAAGCTTTTGTGCCTTGAAAGGGTGTTTCCTGAAGGGAAAGGTTTTTTGAAATTGTACCTTCCAGAATCCCTTGTATATTTAGGAAATTTTAGCCCAGAACAGTAATTTTTCAGAGCTGTGCCGTTCCAGTTTTGCTTCCTTAATCCTTGGGCCAAATAGGAACCAAAGTGAGTCTGATGGAATTAAAAAATGCGCCAAGTGATTGCATTGTCGTTGGGCACCAGCAGAGGATGCTCTGAAGCCAAACATGTTACTGCTGCATAGATGATAAGCAAGCAAGAATCAGTGATATTTGGGGAAGAGAAAAGAAGAGCACTGTTTGGTGTGTTCTTTCTAATCTGATGGAGGAAAGGCTTCTTCTCTCAGTAAAGGATAATGAGTGTCTCCTTACTCTTGATTTATGAATTGAGACATAGACTCAGTAGTGCTTTCCAGCTCAGTGAGTGGTTAATCCACTTTGATTTTGAGTCTGGACTTTAAAGGAACTATCCAGAGTGCTGAACCTAGTTGGAACATAGTGCTCAGCACCTTGGGTAGGTCAGTCATCATCAATATGCGTATCCACTCAGATCTTGTCATTTTACTAAAACACAGACTGAAGGCCAATAGACAGCCTGTGTCAGGAGGATCTGCCATTCTGATTTTTAAGTGTGTTTATTACATTCATGGAGCCCCCAGTGGCGCAGTGGGTTAAAGCGCTGAGCTGCTGTGCTTGTTGACCGAAAGTCACAGGTTTGAATCAGGGGAGTGGGGTGAGCTTCCGCTGTCAGCCCCATCTTCTGCCAACCTAGCAGATCAAAAACACGCAAATGTGAGTAGATCAATAGGTACCGCTCCAGTGGGAAGGTAACAGCGCTCCATGCAATCATGCTGGCCATATGACCTTGGAGGTGTCTATAATAATAATAATAATTATTATTATTATTTATTTATTTATACCCCGCTACCATCTCCCCAAGGGACTCAGTGCGGCTTACATGAGGCTGAGCCCGCAATACAAACAATACAAGCAATACAAGCAATAACAGGTACAATACAAACCAATTTAAAAATAAATAAATCATAATAAATAAATCTACGGGCAACGCTGGCTCTTCGGCTTAGGAATGGAGATGAGCACAACACCCCAGAGTCGGACACGACTGGGCTTCACGACAGGGGAAAACCTTTACCTTTACCTATTACATTCATGTCTGCCACTGAGAACTGGGAAGACTGGCCAGAGTGCTCCAGCTGGAGGTCAGCTGTGACCAGCAGTGCTGTAGAATTTGAAGAGGCACGAATGGAGGGCAAAAGAGAGAAACATGCCAAGAGGAAAGCACGTCAAGGCAACCCCGATCGGAACCGCCTTCCACCTGGAAACCAATGCCCTGACTGCGGGAGAACATGCAGATCAAGAATAGGGCTTCACAGTCACCTACGGACCCACCGCCAGTACAGCGATCTTGGAAGTCAATCCTACTCAGACAACGAGGGATCGCCTAAGTAAGTAACTAAGTCATGTCTGCACCTTTTTCCAGAAATCTCAAAGATGGTACTTCTCCCCTCAGTCTCACAAAAAGCCTGGCAGGTAAGTTTAGGGTGATCAGTGGACACTGGCCCAAGAGGGCATAGGATTAAGATGGGATTTGAACCTGGTTCTTTTCAACTCAGCACACAGTCTAACCCCTCTTTTCAGCTGAAGGCCCGATTCTATTTCAGATCTCCACAATTCCAGTGGCGGGTCAAGCAATTTTAGATTAATGATTTTCCAGCAAAGAATTTTCAGCTGAGAAAGAAGCCTGAATAGATGCTGGGAATCGACCAAACGTTGACATCCCATGAAAGGAATGTGGCCACTGGGGAACCACTGAAGGTCATTCTCAACCCCAGGCTTAGAGGTTTCCTACACTTGCACTACCCAGTTTCACAAAGACTGGTCTCTCTATTTTTAGGGCTTACAATCTTGTAGGTATAGATATGGATCTTGGAGGTCTAAATTCTTCCTTTGAAGGCCAAGAACCCTTACAAACCAGCCAGCACAATGTTTGAAGTCCTCCCACAATGATTTCCTCATGTACCATTTGTGGTTCTTAGTTTTGTGGTGGCTATTAAAAACAACATGCCCGTTGTCATCAAATAGGACATTTGCTCCATCTTCTGCTCCTTCTAATACTTTTTGTGAGAATCTGAAAGTTTTGGAGTGGTCTTTGGTAAAACTGTAATTTTAATTATATAATGGTTTCATTATAGTTGTCACCTCAGGAAGAGATCTGGTTATTCCGAATAGTGAAATCTCAAATACGGGAGAATTTCAAACTAAATGAAAAAGGAACTCAAAGGTAAATGCGATTGAGTGTAAAGTGAGCTCAGGCCAAAAAATATATATATATATATCTCCTGATGGAACTAACCAGTTTGAAAATAACATGTTGCAAGCAACATGACTTAAAACATATTACTTTTTCTCCTAATAAGGACATAACTTTGACACCTTTGTTTGCATCTCAACACAAAGTGTTTCAGGTTTTTAGTATAAATATAAGACTGTTCCAGAAAATGTTATTTTAAAGAAATTTGGGGGCATTTTGCGATATTTTAATGATTTGAATATCTTGCAGGGTTTTTTTTAAAGTTAGTAATGTATCATTCCCCCAACAGGAATTAACTTTAACACATTAATGAACGTTTAACAATCCATATCCACTTACCATATTCAAGCTTTACACACATTTATTTTCTCATTATGGAATCTGGGTTTATGTAAAATGAAAATAATAAAAACTGTGGCCTTAAACTTCCATCCTTATTGGAATGCCTGACTCCCTTAGTATACAACACATTCTCTAAACCAGTAAATTCCTCATGTTGTGGTGACCCCCCCCAACCATATTTTCGTTGCTACCTCATAATGGTAATTTTGCTACTGTTATGAATTTTAATGTAAATATCTTGATATGCAGGATGTATTTTCATTGCTACAAATTGAACATAATTAAAGCACAGTGATTAATCACAAAAACAGTACGTTTGGGGGAGCATGGACTACGGATGATGGGATCTGCAGTACCTTCAACTGATGCAGCTCAGGATTCCACAGACCACTGAGACCCCCACGAATTACAGACCTGGACCAACTTGGCACACAGAACTCCAATGACTAATAGAAAATACTGGAGGGGATTGGGAAGAATTGACAGTGATTTACGGGAGATGTAGTTCACCTACATCCGGAGAGCACTGCAAAACCAACCTCAACTAATGATGGATCTGGATCAAACTTGCGCAGTGAGAGCCAGGACATGCAGGAAGCCTACCGATCAGCCCAGCCCCTTCTGAGCTCAGCAGGGGCAACGGTTAAGCTGCGAAGGTTCCCTGGATTGCCTGGCCATGCGTGGAACCTTGTGCTCGACCCTCGCCCCAGCCGAGCTTGAAAGGGGCAAGGGTCGAGCGCAAGGCTCCCCGCATGGCCACACTTTTTATTATTTTCATTTTACATTAACCCAGAATCCATAATGAGAAAAATTGTGTGTAAAGTTTGAATATGGTTAGTGGATATGGATTGTTAAACCTCATGACTCTCATTTCATCTCTTTTCTCGCAGTTGCCATGTGGCGTGCATTTTGAGGTGTGTGCACTTTGTGGTACTATAGCTTATCCTGATGGGAGTGGCTTCTGCCTGCAGAACCAGTCTGACAAACTTTCCTCCTTCACTTCTGCTGTGCTTTTTACTCTGAAGTGTTTTTGAATTCTGCCCCTCAAAGCTTTGGAACCATGTGGTGCATTATTTATATTTAATCTGCAAGTGAAAAAGATAAATTCCGTGTACTCTATGATCAGAAATAAACTGAAAACAAGACAACCTGTGCCATAATGGCTGTACTGTATATAGCAGTCTGAAGACTGGCTGCACCTGAAATGTTTTGGGCTGTTTTTGTTTCCATCCTACCTCACCAGTAGCCAGAGGGGCTACTGCTGAAGGAAACAACAGATGTTTATAAAATCTAGAGGGATATCTGTTCATGTCCTACTATCATTTTATTACATTTTTAAAGGTCAAGAGCAAGCTGGTCCACTCACATTATGTAAATATTCACATCCCACAGAGATTAATACATAACACCAGCATTTTCTTAGTGGAAACAATGGCTGTGATCCCTGTATAAGTTTATATTAAGAAACAAGCATGACAGAGTCTTCCTGCTATTTTCTAGACATTTTGATTTTTGAAAAACTCGTTTTTGAAAAACTGCATGCAGCGATGTATGAGTTTCCATCAAAGAAGTGCAAATTTTGACAAAGTGGTTGGTGTCTTAGCAAGCCTGGACTTCTGTGTGTCCTGAATAATGTGTCAGCATCCTAAATCCTGCATTTAAGAAATTAGACAGGGCAAGTTCAGTTTAATTTATTACATCAAAAAAAGAGAAAAAGAGAGAAGTGAAAAATACAAGGACACAAAAACTGAGAGGGACTGACTTTCCCTCCCAATGAGGTTCAAAACCAATGAAAATATTCCAGCAATATAAGGCAACAACAAGGGAGCCCCTTCCAGCAGGGTGTGAGGGGACCTGACTGTGGGACTGCAGGCTGTGAAGAAAGCTCCCGGTTTTTTTTTTCCAGCTCCAGCAAAGGGCACTGAAGGTGGGGAATGGCGAGTGTGGGTTCACCAGACCCAGCAAGGCTTTGCCACTGGAAGGAAAGGGTTGACAGTGAGGCATTCACAGCCATTCCAGTCCAAGGATGTGGTGCTGTAAAGAGCAAAGTGGGAGCAAGGTGCTCCAATTCATTTCAAACCCAACAGAGGCGGCACTGTGCAGTCCGTGGCTGGCTGCTGCTCCTCCCCTCCCAGGGAGTAAAATAGCTCAGTGCTGAGGGGTTCGGTTCCACACATTGGCTCAAGTTGCTCTTTGGTCTCTTTACTGAGGTTGTTTTCTGGTTGCTCTGTACCCATCTCTGGATACACAACAAGACAAAGCTTCTGTCCTGCCCGCGTGACTACATCTGTAAGAAGAAGGGGTAAAGAGATGAGTTTCAACAGGAAGACCACAAAACCTATGGTCTCAGCACACCTACACACTTTCATCCATCTGTTCTCCCCTCAGTCTGCCCATTACTCACCAATAAATGTGTGGATGGCGGGTGGTTTGTGCTCCCAGTGCACCCCCAGGAAGTAGACAGGGACTCCTGTCAGCATGATGGCCAGACCAATGCCACAAACCACGGGTTCTGACCATAAGCTGAACACCAACAGGAAGGCCCAGAACAGCAGGTAAATTATGGGGAAGAACAGGCTCACCTGGGAAGGAGAAGATGGGTTTGGTCCAGGTGGGAACAGTAGGAAAAAGGGATTCAGGGAAAGGGGTGATGGGGGGTCTTCTTGTCTAGCAAGGGGTTAGTACGGTATTGGCTGGCAGAGGTGGGAGGAGCCATCACAGTGGGTAGAGTTCATGCTTTTCATGCAGAAGGCTTGGTCCCCAGTTTGGCTTCCCAAAAGGATCAGGTGACAAGTGATGGGAAAGACCCTAACATTTGACCCTACAGAGTAGATGCTCATGAAAATAAAACATTTTATGGACAAAATAATCCTAATATGTCTGTTGAACGGAGGCTATGAAGGGCGCAAGTTAAAATTGAAAATTAGATTTCATCTTATGTATGTTTACTAGGAAATAGGGCCCACTCACTGTTCATAATTGAAGTGTTTGGAATGTAGCCTAAATTATTTTCTTTTCAAAATTTAAGTCATATTAACTGTTTTTTTGGTTTTACAGGTATTTCTATATATAAGTCAACTCAGTCTCTTAAAACATATCCATGACTTTGTCAAAAAGATTGTATTAAAGTTACAAGTTACTCCTACAAGTTCAAGTTACAGGTGCAATACATGGCCAAACACAAGATAGTTTTCGGTCAAGCATTATCACTATAGCTCCAGTAGTCTTGAACTGATGTTTCCTGGAGAAACACAGTACTATACTAAAAACTGGACTTCAGGATTATATTCCTGAATGGTATAAATCTCTATTTAGTTATGTTCTACTTGTTATCGTAAACATTATGAATTCAAAATGTTTCCAACTTGCTTTTAAATCAGTAATAACTTAACCCACCATAAATGGCTCCTGGGGAAAGCAAAACTGGTGTAAGAAGAGGATGCATCAGCTGCTAAACAGATGGCAAGGGTCATGTGGCAAGGGGCTCTTTACCTTGATGGGACGAGGTCGGTGAGGTTCCCGCCAGCGTAGCACAACTTGGCCAGCCACAGTCACCCCATAGAAGAGGTAGTTGATGAAGCCCACATAATTGATCAGGGTATATATGTCACTTGTAACCAGCATCAGCAATGTTGAGAGGCACTGCCAAAGACAAGCAAAGAGTGAAAATAAGGAAGCATGTGGATGTAAAGGAATTACTTTAGGCATCCTAGTTTGCCAAAATGACATCATCTGCTCACTGGTCCCAATAATTCTTCTAAAAATGCCTTTCCCAGAGTCCGTAGTTGTAGCCACTTCAGTCCTTTCCTGCCATATACTCACCCCCTCATCCCACATACCCTCTGAGCACCCGAATCCCACCCCACTCCCAGTCTCTCTGCGAGCAACTCACAGTGAAGAGTAAGGCAGGGATGGGAGTGCAGCGTCGCACATGAATCATAGCCAGTACACTGGGGAGGTGTCCTTCCCGTGCTCCAGCAAAAAAGAGCCTGGGAATGATGGAAAGATGTTATCAGAAATACAAACAGGGACATGTAAAATTGTTGATACGATTTAATCCACACTAGGGATGATATAAAAACACACTCTGAACTAGATTGTGACTCAAGAAAGACTAGAAAATGCTCAAATAGGTTAAATAAATTAACCTTATTTCTACCCTGCCACCATCTTCCAAAAGGAACTCAGGGCGGCTTACAAATCACTGGTAATGTAACAAATACATATGGTGCAATAAATACAGATACATCAATCAATATCAAAGGAAAATGTAATTCACATCATCAATACATAAAACAATACCACATTAAAATTAATCAACCTTAAAATACTACCATATTTCTCCAATCCTAATGTAGGTGGTATGTCACAGTGTGTCAGAGTGGCAGCACTTATAAAGACATGGGGAGCAGTGTAGGTATGGGTGGTGGATACTGTAAAAGAACCTGAAAGTTGTAGACTTCAAAATATGAGACCTATACATGAGCAAGATCCTGGCCACTGCACTTAAAAAAAGTAATAAAACTACAAAATGTGTAAAAAAAAGTGTAACCAAAAGTATCCACAGTAGGGATAAGGGAACATTACAAGGCTTTAGGAAAATAGTGATGGAATGGTGTAAAACTATGCATGGTGTGCAGAAGATATAAAGTCAGCTTTCTTGCTCTAATCAAATAAAAGCCAAAATTGAATGAGAAATTCACATAAATTGTAAAGCTTCGTAACTCCAAGCCACAATTTAGATGGCTTCAAAAGGCAAGTGGATACATTCATGAAGGATGAAGTCATCAATGGCTACTAGTCAGGATGGCTATTTGTCACCTCTAGAATTAACAGCTCAAAAATCAGTTCGGGGGGGGCGGGGGTTGCATGAAATGAGAGATTCAATTGTACTCTTGTCCCTCTAGTGGGCTTCCCATAGCAACAGATTGGCCACTGTGTAAACAGAATGCACTAGACAGACCTTTGGGTTAATCCAAGCTGGCTCTTCTTATGTCTGCTTGAAAGTAATCTTAACTTACCTAGAGGAAGTGAAGAGTGATCCATTGACTCCTCCAAATGTGGAAAGGGCAACAGAAATTGGCATGATCCAAGCCATGACGCCTAATAACTTCTCCCCAAATGTCTAGGACGAAATGAATAGAGAATGGGTTATTAGCTGTGATCCCCTTTGGAACTTTGGGAGGAAAGGGAATTTGCACAATGGGATAGACATGGGGCCTCACCACTGCAACAGCATTAGAGGCCAGCAACTCTTGGGGTGACATGGCAGTGACATAAGCCACATTGGCGAAGACGTAGACAAAGGTGACCAGGGGAATGGAGATGAAGATGGCACGAGGCAGGTTCCTGTGTAGAGAAAGAGTTGTGGTGGAAGAGGAGAAACAAGTATGAAGGTGAGCCTCTAACCCCTTCTCTGCTATTAGGTTGTCCCTGGCTCACTTGTAAGGGTCAACAAGCTCTTCTGTGACATAGTTGAGGAAGTTCCAGCCCCCGTAGGCAAAAGAGCCCTGTAAAAAGGCGAGTGCCACCAGTCCCACATCTGGCGTCTGGAAGAACTCAAAGGCATGTTTTGGCTCCAGCCAGAAGTATTCACCTGTGGAGAGAAGAAAGCGTTCATTAGACTGGTAGATGTGGATTGTTCTCTTTCTCTCTCCTAATTCTTGTACTTTTCAGTGCCAACTAGGGCAAGAAACTATGGAAACCAATCCACTCTCTAAATCAGCTTATTAAAGAATGGAGGTTTTTAAATCATGGAGCTTATTCCTCCTGAGTGAACAAGTAGAGCATGTTAGGGAAATCCTGCCTCCTACTTTGCCTGTTCAGTCTGGGTCTCACCTTTGCAGATCTGCACGACTCCCATGACAATGATGAGCCCCAGTGCCAGCAGTTTTCCTGCTGTGAAGATATCCTGGACACGTGTGGCCCAACGTACACTAGCACAGTTCACCCAGGTCAGCAGTACTGTAGTAAAAGAGGAAAAATAGGTGAAGAGATGGACTGTCGGTATTCGTTTCCTGGCACAAATTTCCCAATCAAGGCCAGATTCATGGCTTTTGATAATGCTAGCAGCAATGTGTCTTGGAAAAATCCTGGCACTTTGCTGGTCAAAGGCAACTACCGTACTGTTTTCTTTGCTTTAAGCCAAAGTTTGATAATAGCCTAGCAAGATCTGTTACTATGTCGCTACCTCTCACTATAAAATAGCAGCACAACTATACTTCCAATGATTTGCAGCAAGGTTATTCTTCAGAGTCAACAGTTTTTCTGGGTAGAGGTGATTGCAGGCGTTTACTCCACCATTCTCTCTCTCTCTCTCTCCCTCTCTCTCCCTCTCTTTCTCTCTCTCTCTACCTGTCTAACACAATTTAGGATCAGTGACCCCATGCTTGGGGTTGCAACCTAGGGTTAAATCTGTGTACTGCAGTATATGGAAAGGAATGAAACAAGGTTCCAATTAATGTTCTTGGATAGCCAAGAGAATGAAAAACAAACAAGAAGAGGGAGGCTGTGACCTATTTGGCTTCCAGCCTGACTGCACCAAAACATCCCATCTACACAAACAGACAAACTGGACCCTACTAACCCAGCAGCACACAGACAGCATTTACATCAGACAGACAGACCAACAGACGTGTCTCCACCGTTTGAGCACCTGGCTCCTAGCAAAAAGGAATTAGAAAGCAGACATTCCATCTACTCCATTTCCAATGCTACCCCATTTTCACCCTTCTCACAAGAATACATACACGGCATTTTTATATTATCTGAAGATGAAAGGCAGAACTGAGAAACTTCCATGTATACAAATAGTTTTCCCAGCATTCATGAGCTTTGCCTGCTTACTTGTGTACATACAGGAACAATAACACTGCCAAGGCACATGAATACATCCACATTTTCTCTTTGATGAATGCAAACAAGCAAAACCTTTGTAAAATATGCAAAACCATCTTAGCAAAAGTTTTTTAACTTAGCAGATGTGATGTGGGGGGCAAATGTTGCTTACTGGCCACTCACGCCTTTTTCCATCATAAAATGGCAGCTGTATATGCATTTTACAACAGATCATAACTGTATCATAATCTGGCACTAAACACTGAAAAACAAAACATCTCTGACGTGCTGCCTCTTTTTGAGACACAAACAGTCTGAATTCAATAAACAAATGACATTTAGCCTACATAACTATTTGTCTTGCTGTGTCTACTCCCAGCTATCAAAACAGATAAGCAACCTCCCATCCTAGACATTATACTAGCTGAGGAAGAGACACAGCAGTTTTTGTGGAGTGTAAAAAGCAGGCTATGCTAGAAATCCTTAAGGAGACAGAGAAGATTCTGAGATCTCACATATGACAGCCGTGTCCTTACAATATAAGTAAACACCTGCATGGACCTGCAGGCATGTAGCTGGGGGGCAGAATTTTCCTCCAGCATCATAGTTCATAAGCATCTAGCTTCCTTTGCTCAGCCTTCCTTATGGTTCAGCTCTCACATCCATAGGTTACTACGGGCAGGCATGTAGCCCCCCAACCCCCCCCCCCCGAAATTCTCATGGTGGTTCGAAAAGGCCTTACTGGTGCATTATTTAAACTGCTATGTTTATTCTATCATTATCTGATCACTATACTCAATATATCTCATATGCATGGGGGTATTGGGGTAACGATACAAAAGGTTTGCTAGGCTAGACCCTCTTTCACTCAGACTCAGCCCCCCCCCCCCAAACAAACTCAGCCCCCCCGAATCGAAATCCTGGCTACGGGCCTGTGGACCTGTATGTTAGGGGGAAGTTATATTGTTTTGCTTTTTTGTGATCTATCCTGGTTGTTGGGAGATTTAATTGTGTCATACTAATAAACTTCTTTTCTGCTGCTCCAGAAAATATGATTCAAACAAGAGATTCAAATTAAAAAGAGGAACACTGATTGAATATAAGAAAGGCCTTCCTGAGGAGAACAGGTGTTTTGGAGTGACACAGATTACTTCCAAAAGTGGCAGATTTTCCTTCATTGGTTTTTTTAAAAAACAGAAACCTGTTGGTCACTTCTTAAAGACATTTATATTCAGGGTGGTGGAATAGATAACCTTTGGGGTACACCCCCCCCCCTCAGTACTATTATTCTATTATCTGTCCAGTCTCTTGTTCTTGCTTTCATCTTTTCTCTTGCAGGGCAGGGTAAGAGAGGGGAGAGTCAACAGGCTCCCAAACCTAAACAAAGTAAAAGGAAATGGAAACCTCCCTGCTGATTCAGCATCCCCTTTTGCACAAGTTCAAGTCAAAACAGGAAACTTGGAGTTTAGTAGAAAATCACTTTGGGTATAGGAGTTAGAGGAAGAGAGAGATTAAAGGATTTGCATCTTTAGGCAACTTCACACAAAGTTTTTCCAATAAAAAGAGAATCTGCATGTGGGAAAAGAGAAACAGCTGCTATACACAGGTTGGAACTTGCTAATCTTTATTCATCGTGATGAAATAGATTTCTTAATGGGAGCATTATTTTTATTAAGAAATAACTTGTTTGCATATACTGTTGTAGAATTCACATTCTAAATAATTTATCCCATTTATACATCAAAGCACAGGAGAATCGGGGTACATATTACATGAAGCAAAACTGGGGACGATGTGGATTCTTTAGGCATTGGGGTTAGGAGATGATTGACATGCGAGTAGAGCATATCGAGCACAGATTAGGAAATGAAGCCAATTGTACAATCCCTTTTTCAATATTAGGTTAGATATGGTGACTTGGGCTTGTTTCAGCAAATCCCTACAAAGTACTGTATATGTTTACTGCTAAGATCAGGAGCTAGATTTGCCTGCGAGATCACAAGAATAGATTAGGCCTAGCTAGAGTTTCAAAATGGGTTCCTAGGAGGAGCCAGAAATAGATCTAACATTAATGTTTCGATCTGAGTATGGTATTCCATAAAGATTTATGTTGGAGTACTGTGTGGGGGTGATGAGTATCTATCCCCTACTGGAAAATTTTTAAGAGATGGGAGCTTTGCAATGTGACAAAAATATATTATGTTCCATCCCAAAGACTGAACTCCTGGAAGTTCCCTTGTTTCTCAGTATTCCTGGCACCCAGCAGGACTGGAATAAGGCCAGTGAGTTTTCAGTTTCCTGGTGTTTTTTTCCCCTTTCAAACACAGTCTTGGGGATGACACTATTGCAGGAGGGTGTGTTTCAGAGTTGTTGCTAAATTTTTAGCACAGGCTGTCCTGGGGGCTGATCCAGACCAGCCATCCTGCTACCCTGTTCCTGCCCCCAAAATAGATTCGGCGCTTGGTTCAGAGAGGTCAGTGACCAGTAATGCCACCTCCACAGCATTTGTGCCTCCTTTTTTAGAGCACTCATGATTTTATCCAGGCCATTCTTTAGCCACCAAGCTGAGACTGGTACAGGAAAACAACATTCTAACCACTTCTAGGTCACTTGCTTGCGTCACCATGGAGATAGGAAGCAGAAACTACGACATACAGATAAAACAGATTAAGATTTGCTTAACAGGACTCTGGTGACACTACCCAATTTTAGCCTGTAGCACAAAGGGATACCACCCAAAACTTGCCTCCAACTATCAGCCACAAACTCCCCTTGAGCTAATTTGCCTTTTAAAGTTATTCTGACATCCTGATGATAATTTTTTTAAAATTATACCCCTTGATCAAAACCTACAGTCCAGTGAGATTCTTTTATCACTTCCTTCAAACACTCCAAGCTGTTTACTGATCTAGACTGTTTTATCATTTTCTATCTCTACAGTCTTTGAGATTTAGACAGAAACAGTTCCTCATTTTTGATGTCTTGGAGGAAATGTGGATTTTTCTCTTCCCTTTCGTTCTGTTATATGCACATATACTCCTTCATTTTTGCTGACTCAGCACTGAATAACTGGCTTTGACCTGATTAATAAGCTCTTGCTGAGCTGCAGCAGCTGGCTTGCATAAGTGCCTCAGCCAAAACCTCTCCCGGGCCATCACTCATCCTTTTTTCCCCTCCCCCTGCTGTGGGTCTGGAAAGAAAGGAACAAAACCAGTTTCTGCCTGATCTTGCTGGTGTTTGATGTCCTAAAGTAACCTCTGCAAGGATAAAAATTCCCAAATATTCTTTGAGTTACTAGGTATAAAATTGCCCACTCCTCAGTGACTAAGCTTGGAGTAAACGCACAACCACAAATGTGGAAAGGTCTGTGCAGGAACGAATGAGAGGGAAAGGATTCAAAAGTATGATGCATGTATTTGCTGGAATGGGACCATTCCCTGCAATAAGGGCCTCTTCCACACAGCTGTATAAAATCCGCATTGAACTGGATTATATAGCAGTGTGGACTCAGATAATCCAGTTCAAAGCAGATATTGTAGATTATCTGTCTTTATATTCTGGGTTATACGGCTGTGTGGCAGGGCCCAAAGATTCCTAAATACTAGCTTCTGGAGCAATGGAAGGGGTGGGAAAGTGACTGAAACATGCTAATTCCACAGATCTCGGAGAAATATGGCTCTATGAGCAGGCGTTTGGACGTGGCTCTATGAGCAGGCGTTTGGACAACTATGCAATGACAACTAACTCAGTAAGACGGCATTGAACAAGGAACGAAAAAGGACTATGAGAACGGGATCTGATTCTAATTGAGGCGTTGATGACTTTGTGTGTTGTTTGTGTATGTGCGTCTTATATACTGTTAGTGTTGCCCTTTTTTACTGTAAACCGCATTGAGTCGCCGTCGCAGGCTGATAAATGCGGTATACAAATGGAGTAAATAAAATAAATAAATAAATAAATAAATATGTCTGAATGAGAGCTACCTCTTTTTAGCCTCGCCCCAGTTCTAGGAAGTAAGGAGGACAGTCTGAAGCCAATTCTAGGAAGTAGAGAGGAAGACAGTCTGGGACCCCTTCTACACTGCCATATCTCCAGATTATCAAAGGGGCCTGGATCTCAAGATCACCCACTAAAACATGCAGAAAATCATATACATGTCTCCTTGTGTCAGTGCTGACTCTCTAGCTGCAACATCACAACAGGTCTTAAAGGTTTAAAATAATAATCATTCAAATGTGTAGACACAGCATGGTAATCAATGCTATACATGCTCCTCGGGGATGACTATGTGTTTTGGGTACCAAAATGTTAATGATCCTAAAAGACATCATATAGATCAGTGTTTCTCAACCTTGCTAGTGCTGTGACCCCTTAATACAGAGTTCCTCATGCTGTGGTGACCCCCAACCATAACATTATTTTTGTTGCTACTTCATAACTGCATAACTGCATTTTTGCTACTGTTATAAATTGTAATGTAAATATCTGATATGCAGGATTTTCATTCTGCATATCATTCTGATATGCAGGATTTTCATTCACTGGCCCCAAATTTGGCACAAATACCAAATACGCCCAAATTTTAATACTGGTGGGATTTGGGGGGGGGGGTGATTTTGCCATTTGGGAGTTGTAGTTGCTGGGATTTATAGTTCACCAACAATTAAAGACCATTCAGAGCTCCACCAGTGATGGAATTGAACCAAACTTGGCACACAGAACTCCTATGACCAAGAGAAAATACTGGAAGGGTTTGGTGGGCATTAACCTTGAGTTTTGGAGTTGTGGTTCACCTACATCCAAAGAGCACTATGGACTCAAACAATGATAGATCTGGACCAAACTTGGCATGAATATTCAATATGCCCAAATGTGAACACTGGTGGAGTTTGGGGAAAATAGACCTTGACATTTGGGAGTTGTATTTGCTGGGATTTATAGTTCACCTACAATCAAAGAGAATTCTGAGCCCCATCTATAATAGAATTGGGCCAAACTTTCCACACAGAACCCTATGACCAACAGAAAATACTGATTATCTTTGGCGACCCCACTGACACCCCTTCATGACCCCTCCAGGGATCCTGACCCCCAGGTTGAGAAACACTGATATACATTGAAGACTGAGCATGCTTGTTTGCTGTTGCTCCACAGAATAGAACCCAAACAATTAGAGTCAAATTACAAGAAGAGTAATTCCACCTAAACAGTCCAAAGAACTTATATTTCCTAAGAGCTGGATTCTCTTTTTCTGTAAATCTTTAAACAGATTGCATTTAAGAACCCTTCTACACTGTCCTTATACCCAGGATCTGATCTCAGGTTATCTGCTTTGAACTGCAGGCCCTTCCACACAGCCCTATATCCCAGAATATCAAGGCAGAAAATCCCACATTATCTGAATGTAGACTCAGATAACCAAGTTGAAAGCAGATATTGTGGGATTTTCTGCTTTGATATTCTGAGACATAGGGCTATGTGGAAGGGCCCCCAGACAGGCCCTATATCACAGGATCTGCTCTCTCAGGCTTTCTTTTTATCCTAGATTATCTGGCAATGCTGACACATATAATCCAGTTTAAAGCAGAAAACCTGGAATCAGATATTGGGATATAGGACCTGTCTGGAAGAGTCCTGTATTATATGGCCCTTCACTGTCAGATAATCCGGGATAAACAGATAATCTGGGATCAGATCCTGGGATATAAGGCAGTGTAGAAGGGGCCTACAATTATATCTTGTCAGGAACTTACAAATTGTCAATATCAAGCTTCACTCAATTGAAAAGATGACAGCAGCTGAAGAATATGCATTGCTAAGAAGGTGGATTTCATACTTACAAAGACAAACACCAGCTAGCAACCGCAGTCCAGTTTCTGGGGGAAAGCAAGTGGGAAAAAGTGGCTGAAGTACATAGTTTGAGAAAGTGAGGGCAATTACTGCCTGATTGGTGGGGTAGATCACCAGCACAGCAATCCATAACCGCAAAAACCTTGAAAAAGAAACATATGCTCAAGAATACAACCAATCCTTTTTATTTCAAATCAGCACCCCCACCCCCTTTACATCTTGATTCACTGGTTTTATTACAAGCCCACACAAATGCATATTTTGTCTCTTACCCAGCCAGTCCTCCAAAGATGTCTTTGACATAGGAATAGTCTCCTCCAGACTTCGGGATGGTGACTCCCAGTTCTGCATAGCATAGCGCTCCTACAGCTGTGATCAGACCAGTGACAATCCACACAATCAACGCCAAACCTACTGAGCCAGCATTCTCCAACACTCCCTTTGGTGATACAAAGATTCCTGATCCAATTATGTTACCTGAAGAAAAAACAATAGAGGGATCCAATAATTAAAGATTATTAATATTTATGATAAGAAGGGAAACTTTGCAGGAAATGTGGTGATATCTGTTGAGGTTTGCAGGTCTAAAAGACACTGATCCAAGGAAGGTAATGTATCCCACATGTTTAATGAGAAAGGTTAACTTAGATTGACATTTAAATGTCAGCTGCTTTACATATCAAGAAGAGAAGTAAACAGCTTTTCCCCCAAATTAAATCCTATACCTTAATTTAGTTAACCACATCAGAAACCTTCATGTTTGTGTACCATTTATAAGACTTTTTAAAACAAAAGCTATTCACATCACTTTGCTTTACAACCAATCATTCTGTTTTCTTGACTGTCTCTATATACATATTTGGCTGCCTGAAACCAGAGATGCTCAGTATGATATTAGAACATTTTATTAGGCCACAATCCTATGTATACTTATACTGGATTAGAATTTTACTGAAACTATGGAAAATATTAAACTGCTGACATAAACTTTTCAAAATAGCTTACCAGGTAATGTTATATATATTTACTTAGAAATTAGTACCATAATGTTCAAAGGAGTTTACTTTCTAGTAATGCTAAGCATACTTAATTTGGAATAAACATTATTTAATGCCTTGGGCATTAGAAATACGCACATAGTCTTGTGGTTGCCTACCTCACATTCTTAGCAGTAAGGTAGGCTATGCTGGCAAGTAATTCTGTGTAGTAGTCTGTTGCATGTAAAGTTACCATTTTATTTATATTATGAAATATTGAACAAATCTTGCATATGCTTCAAAGCTGTCAGATCACAACTTATTGATTCAGCTCAGTTTTTTCAGGAGGTGATGCCAGTCATTTAACCAATCCAAGACTTTGAGCTCCATTTTAAGTCATATATGTTGACTGGAACCTCCTACCAGTAGGAAACACTTAATTCTAAGTAACTATATATAGGATTGAGATTTAATCATCTGTTCTGAGACTGTAAGTGTCCAGACAGGAGATCAAACATCATGAAATTCACAGTTTGGCATGTTTCGCAACATAGCTGTTTTTGAATTTGAGCCTTCTACCTGATTGTTTTCAGACCCACATAAAGCTAAGGCTCAATTCAACACAAATTCAAGACAAAAATCTGATGAGTTCTTCATTGTTGTTTCTACTGCTCAATTTGAAAACTGTTCTGAGTTTACATCTGTTTTTAAAAGGCTAAGTAGATCATTTTAATTGATATTTAACACTTGCATTTTTAATATTTGCTTTTTAATCTTTTTAAAACAATATATTTACCTACCACTTCAAGCTATCATAGGAAGTGATATAGAAACAGAGAAATTGATATCTATATGATCTGATGCAGCTTTACTATACTTTTATTACCACCTAGATTAGCTGAACCTATATTAAAGGAATTATGCTAAGGCCAATATATATGGTTACCCTTGCAAAGACAAAGTCCTGTCATTTGAAACATGGGTTCAATGGCCATAACCATTCTGAATACTATTTTTTGAGATGAGAGATGCTCAATGCATAGCAGTGGCGATTCCAATATATAACAACTAACTTTTAAAAACAGTTACTGGTAAGTCAAATTGTCTCATCTATGATATAAACATATTCGTCTAGATAAATCACCTCTTTCCATTTTTGTACACCTATCTATTATTTATGTATCTGTCCATGCCAGTACACTGTTGGCTCAAATATTCACAGCATACACTGCCCAGCATTTCATCTTTGTGGATAAGTTCTGTTTCTCTTGTCCTTTGGCAGAAAATGTTCTCACCATTTTTCATTAAGAAAATTAAAACTCTGCAGCTGTGAATCAGTGCCAAAGGACTGGGCAGAGGTGTAGCTATAAACAGCATCAGGGTAATGTCAGGTTGCATTATGGATGCATCTACACTGTAGAATTAATGCAGTTTGACACCACTTTAACTACCCTGGCTCAGTGCTATGGAATCATGGAAATTGTAGTTTGGTGAGGCATCTGCACTCTTTGGCAGAGCAAGCTAAAGACCTTGTCAAATTGGTGAAACTGAGGCCCCTTCTACACGGCCATATAATCCAGATTATCAAAGCAGATAATCCACTTTGTCTTCTTTTAACTGGATTATATGAGGGCCCTTCCACACAGCCCTATATCCCAGGATATCGAGACAGAAAATCCCACATTATCTGACTGTGGACACAGATAACCCAGTTCAAAGCAGATATTGTGGGATTTTCTGCCTTCGTATTCTGGGATATAGGACTGTGTGGAAGGGCCCCGAGTCTACATTGCTAAATAATCCAGTTCAAAGCAAATAATCTGGATTTTATATGGCAGTGTAGAAGGGACTTGGGAGAGGAACATATATCTGTCAAAAGAAGAGGTCAGGAGCAAAGGATGAGCCTGTTAAAAGTAAGGCAAGAAATATAAGATAAAACCCAAGATGAACTTTGCTTTGGGAAAATAGAGGCTCAGGCTAGGCTTTAGTCATCTTCACCCACCCACTCTCCCTATTTAGAAAATTACCCAAGAAACTGAATCATAGAATCATAGAATCATAGAATCAAAGAGTTGGAAGAGACCTCATGGGCCATCCAGTCCAACCCCCTGCCAAGAAGCAGGAATATTGCATTCAAATCACCCCTGACAGATGGCCATCCAGCCTCTGTTTAAAAGCTTCCAAAGAAGGAGCCTCCACCACATTCCAGGGCAGAGAGTTCCACTGCTGAACGGCTCTCACAGTCAGGAAGAACTGAACTGAAGAAGCAGAGCCTGAAATGAAAATTTTCAGTCAACTTGTTATCATGGCATGATGGAGAGATATACTTTTAGTGTATTGTGGCTCAGGAAAGGAGAGGAGAGCTCAAAAGCTAGATATACTTGGAGTGCTAGTAAGGCTTCCATGGAGAGGGAAGCCACAGTTTTTCAAATGTCCCTCAAAGTGCTTTTTCCTCCATTCCACAAAGTGTTTGTTTCAGTGGTCTCCTGGCACCTGCTGAAACAGAGCCATCTGGAGTGGGGTTGATGGAGCTGGAATAAAAACACTCCAAGGCAGGCACTTCAAGGCACTGAAGTGAAAAACAAACTCCTGTGACCAAGAGGAGAACTGCTAGGACGTGCTCTGATCTTGCACAGCTGTGCTGGTAAGCCTTCAAGCCAGAGTCCATTGGGCCATGGCACCCCAGGCTTCCAATGATAATACTCTTTTTCCCTCCCTCTGAGGCAGGGTTAATTGGAGGACATAACTGCTTGTCCGGTTTAGAAACCCAGCTACTTTTTGGCAGAGGACACTTGTGTACTCAGAGAAGACTTGCCTGACATGGATCTATTAGCCCATGGGGCAAAGCAGCTTTGCTGACTGACATCACTGTTTGTTTCTGTAATTCTTCTGGGCCAAGAAAGGTGTTTATTCAAGTTTCACACACTGACGGCTTAGGTTCCAACATTCCTAGGATGGGACACATGAACCTGCAATTGAGAGGTTTCTAATATGTAGAATGATTTAGGGTGGAGTACAGTGCCATAAAATGGGAAGTGGCCAAGAAAATGGTTTTTATTCCAACAGAGAACTAAAACAAGCAAGGGTTAGGAGGAGTTTAGAGGCTGGCCTTGGAGCTGCTTTAGGGAGGAAAAGACTAGCTGTAACCAGAGTGGTAATGCAAACCAACAACTGTCAGGTGTTTAGAGACAGAAAAAGCAAAGCACAAAAAGCAGCAGCAGTGGTTAAAACTGAAAAGAGGATTAAAACATGCAACTGAAAATACATTTAATATTCCATTCTATTCTCAAGAAGTGAGAAAAAAACAGAATACAGAAGAACACAAGGTGTCCCCTTCTAATGTCTGCTTTCTGGTTGATCAGAGAAGATAATGAGCAAATTATTTTATCTTATTCAAAGAAATCATATCCCACCAGAATCCTTACTCACCCACAATGATGCCGCACGCGCTCATCAGTCCAATCTCTTTCTTGAGTGCGACACCACCGCCGTCTGATTTATCTGAGTTAGTTGAATTCTTCTCAGCACCACCTCGTCGGCGTGCTCCATCCTCCATGATGTTCTGGCTTCCAAGGCAGACCCTGGAGTCTTGTGATAGATTCCCACACAAGATTTTAGGCTTTGGATTTGGTTCTCCCAGAATTTGAGCCGCACTAGTTCTATTCCTGGTGATCCAACTATGTTCTTGAATCCTTTGGAATAGGGCCTATGCAAGGTGCAAAGTGTCTAGAATGGTTTTTGTAGCCCCAATTTGGTACTTATGGGTGCAGCCCTTTTCTGTATAGACTTTGATACTGGACTTCTATTTTGAGAATCAAAGTGTCTCAATTACCTTTCAGAGCTAGTCCTTCTCTCCGATATCCAAACTAGATGTATCTCTTTCTTAATTCTAGTTCAGCCTACCTTGGTTCTCGCACCAATTCTGCTAAGACTGAGCTGGCTCTCTCTATTGCCCTTTGGTATATGCGTGCTAGTAGTTAACCATTTTTTGGTCCAAGCTGATCTTCCTGTCTATGAGGTGGGAGCTCCAATCACAGCTCCTGATGGCGAGGAATTCCTTTCTTTCTCTCTCACACGTTTCGACGGTTTCCTTCTGCAAAGTTTCCCCTGAAGTCTAGGAGGAGAGTCACAATAGCGCGAGGAAAGCGACTGGTTTGATCTTGTTTGTTCAGCTCCCACGCGTCTATCACAGAGTCAGTCTAATCAGCAGCACTATCTTAGATCTTCCTTCTGGCTCAGTTTTGTAAAGAGATCCCTGGAGTGTTCTTTGCCAGGCTATTCTCTCATCACAGCTGGCTCTCTCTCTCCTTTGGATTGTTGTTGATAAGCTCGTTTCCTTGTTCCGGCTGAGATTTTTTCTCTCCCCACCAAACGCCTTGGCTTCTCATTCCCTTCCTCAGCTCAGTTCCTTCTCCCTCTCCCCGCTCCCCTCTCCTGGTGTTTTTCTCTCTCTGGGTTGCTCATGTGCCTGAACCTGAACCGGCTTCTGCCGGACTGAGGGTGTGGTGGGGGTCAGTCCTTGATTCCAGGAGACATCGAGCCAGACTCCTCCTTCCTCCCTTACCTTCCTGCTCACATCAATAGGAGCTGATTCAGTCAAAAGATCCCATTTTCATCGCTCTCTCTCTCTTCTTCCCAAACGGAGACTCAGCCATCTCTGCTTGGCTTGCCTTTCCTCATGTTAGATAACAGCCATCGTGTTCCATCCATCCACTGTTTCAAGGCGAGGAATATACATTAGTTGCAGTGATACCAGCTCTGTACCATACCTGTTTATATTAGTTTATATGAGCCTTCGTTACCAGAAATTAAGAGTGGGTCTACCCTGTAAAATTGATATAATTTGGACCTCACTACCTCTGAGGATGCTTGCCATAGATGCAGGCGAAACGTCAGGAGAGAATGCCTCTAGAACAGGTGTCCCCAAACTAAGGCCCGGGGGCCGGATACGGCCCTCCAAGGTCATTTACCCAGCCCTCGCTCAGGGTCAACCTAAGTCTAAAATGACTTGAAAGCATACAACAACAACAATCCTATCTCATCAGCCAGGCCCACACTTCCCAATGAAATACTAATAAGTGTATATTTGTTGACATTGTTCTTCATTTAAAATATTGTATTGTTTTAAAGTGTTTTTTTTTTTGCACTAGAAATAAGATATGTGCAGAGTGCATAGGAATTCATGCACTTTTTTCCAAATTATAATCCAACAGTTTGAAGGACTGTGACCTGGCCCTCTGTTTACAAAGTTTGAGGACCCCTGCACTAGAACATGGCCATATAGCCCGAAAAAACCTACAACAACCCCAAATTAATTTAGTTTGACCCTACTTTAGCTGCCATAAGTCAATGCTATGGAATCATGGAAGCTGTGGTTTTGCAAGATCTCTGCCCAAAAGTGGTGGTACCTCCCAAACTACAAGTGCTATGATTCCATGACATCCAGTCATGGCAGAAAGTGGTGTCAAACTGTACCCATTCTACAGTGTACATGCACCCTATGGGATTTCTAGACTATTCCCAGACTGCCACCATTTTTGTGAAATCTTGTGGCAGGTAGTTCCACCAGGTCAATAGGTGCATAGTTTCTGTAAAGAAAAATGCTCATTTTTCTCTTGCATGGCATAATCTTATTAAAGGATACCTCAATCTGATCATTCTTTTATATGTCTCATCACTCCCCTCTTTGCTTCTCTAAATAGCTTGAAGTGCCTGCACAAACTCCATGTTGTAATTGTCGAAGGCTTTCATGGCCAGAATCACTGGGTTGTTGTAGATTTTTCGGGTTGTATGGCCAGGGGTCCTTAAACTATGGCCCAAGGGCCGGATACAGCCCTCCAATGTAATTTACCCGGCCCTCGCTCAGGGTCAACCTAAGTCTGAAACCGCTTGAAAGCACACAACAACAACAATCCTATCTCATCAGCCAAAAACAGGCCCACACTTCCCACTGAAATGCTAATAAGTTTATATTTGTTAAAATTGTTTTCATTTTAATTATTGTATTGTTTTTAAGTGATTTTTGCACTACAAACAAGATATGTGCAGTGTGCATAGGAATTCATTCATTTTTTTTCCAAATTATAATCCAGCCCTCCAACAGTTTGAGGGACTATTACCTGGCCCTCTGTTTAAAAAGTTTGAGGACTCCTGTTCTAGAAGCATTCTCTCCTGGCGTTTCATCTGCATCTGTGGCAAGCATCCTCAAAGATTGTGAGGTCTGTTGGAAACTAGGCAAGTGAGGTTTATATATCTGTGGAATGTCCAGAGTGGGAGAAAGAACTCTTGTCTGTTTAAGGATGTATATGTTGGGTCAACTAGCATTTCAGAGTTTCTAACTCCCAAAGTCACTCTTGTCTGTTTGAGGCAAGTGTGAATATTGCAGTTGACCACCTTGATTAGCATTGAATGGTCTTGTAGCTTCAAGGAGTTCTTTCTCTCGCCTTGTACATCATTCCACAGATATATAAACCTCTCTTGCCTAGTTTCCAACAGACCTCACAACCTCTGAGGATGCTTGCCAAGATGCAGGTGAAACGTCAGGAGAGAATGCTTCTAAAACATGGCCATACAACCCAAAAAACTTACAACAATCCATGTTGTAATGTTATAAGACAAAATTGTAAAATTTTAAATTCAGATGTCTTGGGGATCTTACATTCATAGAGTCACTGTAAGTGAGTTGAAACCAGCTTAATAATAGAAGGGAAAAAAGGAAAAACAAGATAATTTTGTTCTTAATTAACATTATTATATATTTCCCCTTTTAATTACAGTAAGCTATTGGTATGCCCTGGGTTGGGTTCCCAGGACCTCATGGGGATACCAAAATTTATGGATGTGCAAGTCCCATTATATACAACTAGCCACCCCCTGCCACACATTGCTGTGGTCCAGTTTGGTGATCTGTAAAATAAAGTAATGAGAAAGTGTTGGTTTTTAATATATGTAATTTCTCCATGCTTGTGGGTAAACAGTATTTCTTGCTGTTTCTTTGTCAGTGTTAATGTGGAGATTGTTTGGTTTGCCTACTCTGGAGCATGCAACATATAATTGTCCTTCTTTAGGGGTCCCTTTCAAATCTATTATACTATATCTCTCTGTGTGTGAATCATATCTATCTCTATGGCTGGATGGCTCTTTGTCAGGAGGGCTCTGATTATGTTTTCTTGCCCTGGTGAAGGGAGTTGGACTGGATAGTCTTAAGTATTTTCTGTTGGTCATGGGGGTTCTGTGTGGGAAGTTTGCCCCAAATCTGTCGTTGGTGGGGTTCAGAATGCTCTTTGATTGTAGGAGAACTATAAATCTCAGTAACAATTCCCAGTAACAACTCCCAATTGTCAAGGTCTATTTCCCCAAACTCCATCCGTGTTCATATTTGGGCATATGGAATATTCATGCCAAGTTTGGTCCAGATCCATCATTGTTTGAGGCCACAGTGCTCTCTGGGTGTAGATGAACTACAAGTCCCAAACTCAAGGTCAATGCCCACCAACCCTTCTAGTGTTTTCTGTTGGCCATGGGAGTCCTGTGTGCCACGTTTGATTCATGACTGGTGGAGTTCAGAATTCTCTTTGATTGTAGGTGAACTATAAATCCCAGCAACTACAACTCCCAAATGACAAAATCAATTTTTTTGAGTGATGGTCACTCCTTGGGTTAATAGGTGTCTTGTGCCCAAATTTGGCGGCAATTTGTCCAGTGGTTTTTGAGTTATGTTAATCCCACAAACGAACATTACATTTTTATTTATATAGATGTTGTAGCAAATGGTTTCCCTTCTATTAAATGGCAAAAGAAACTTTTGTTTCTGGATTTTTTTCAAGACAACATTTCAAGCTGTGAGTGGTTGAATCCATGTATATGGAGGGGCAGATGTACTTCTAATGCTGCATGCAAGCAAAGTCGGATTTGGGTTCTGCCTGATTTCCCCTCAATATTTATTCAACTGACACCCAAGGTGATTTACAATATAGTTTGGAACAAAATACAGTTAAAATGTATAATTATGAAGTTCTGAAAAAATTGAATAAGTAATCTTGTTAAAAACACTAATTTAAAACACTTTGAATTTCTGTTAAATTCCTTCCTTCCCATGATGGCATTTTCTTATGCTATTTCAGATTGCAAAAAGCCTCACATGAGAGGCAGATTTCTCCCTGAAGTACTGTAAACTGTCCTGGTATGTAATTTGTATCTAAATTGCTGCCCTTCAGCTTGGGCATTTGAGATAAGGAGGCATGCTGAAAAATTATACATACAACAAACTATCCTTGGTCAATAATAGCAATCTTTTTACCATTGACGTATTTGTCTGCTAACCCACATACTGTGATTCACTGTGGGGTGCTTCAGTTTAACCACATTTTGATCAATATACATAGTCCATTTCATTAATTGCTTTCATCTTTTATTTCTTCAGATATTGGGGCATTTCATGTACATAAATATATGAAAAAATGGGTGGCTATTTTGCTCTCTGTGTCTGTGGAGGCATTTACACTGAAAAATCAATGCAGTTTGACTTTCTCATCACTCAATGCTTTAAAATCCTGGAAGCTGTAGTTTTACAATATCTTTAAAGTGGGCTGATGCCTCAGCAAACTACAACTCCCAGGATTTCATCACATCGAGCCATGGCAAATAAATTGGAGTCAGACTTCAATTCGATAGTCTAAATGTACCCACAGTGGTGTGTTTTGGGAGATAACAAAATTTAAACCAAGGGTGCATCTACAAATTTAACTTCCATGGCTCAATGCTGTTGAATCATGGGAGTTGTAGATTTACAGCAAATTTAGCCTCCTCTGCCACAGAATGTTGTTGCTTTAGCAAAATAGAAATGCCAGGATTCCATAGCACTGAGCCATGGCAGTTAAAGAGATGTCAAATTGTATTCATTCTGCAGTCTAGATGCACCCTGTGTGCATGTGTTTTCAGTCTCAGGAGATTGGAGAGTCTCATCAAAGAGGAAGAAATGAGACAGTTGGCAAAAGGAGAAAAGCAATTGAAATTGAATAAGGACCAAAATGACAGAACTTTTTGGCACACACACCCTTTTTGCCTTGCTATTTTGCTTCCTTCTTCCCCCGCACTATGTTCCATCCCTTCTGTTCCTTGTCCCCAATTCCCCTTGTTTGTCACATTCTCCTTCTCTCTGCTGATCCTGCACCTTCTCTTGCAATGTGGGGGTGAAGTCCAATCTTTGGGGAGCACCTTGACTCTTTTATCATCATATCAGCCGGAACAGAAAAGAACAAAGGTCAGGGCTGGGAGGGAGAGACGATAACAGCAAAAAGAATAAGAAAGCAGCCTCTGGGGGCAGGGGAATGGCTCATCAGCAAGAATTGTGCCGCAAACAATTTCGAAAGGGATGGCTCTGTTGCAAGAAAACCACAACAAGAAGAGGTCCTGTGGCACCTGGAAAACTGGCACAGTATTCTGGAATTTGAGATTGTGGACTACAAATAGCTTCAGAAACATCAAACTGCATTTGTGGGAGGAGACGTTGGTTAGCTTTCAAGGTGCCGCAAAATTCATTGCAAATAGTACATT